CTGGTTCTCCCAACTCATGTGAGAAGCTCCGCTTCAGCAGGTAACCTACAGGCCTCCCTCACCACCCTCGAGTGAAGGCCAGCTGAGTACTCAGTTCTGTAGATGTCAACTGCATGCCAGCAGGCTTGATACCCAGAGCAGGCATTACTATCTCAGGCACTTATGAATATGCCATCCAGAGAAAATAGAAGACACCCAGTTAAATTTGAATTTCACATAAAAAATTGTAATATTAAGTATGTCCTAAATATTGCATGGAATGTATCTATATTAAACAATTATTTGTTATTTATCTGAAATTCAAATTGAACTGCACAGCTTATATTTTTATTTGAAAATCTAGCAACCTTATCAATGAAGTAAATCTGCCTTCATGTTGAACTACAGATAAAGGCACTGGTATTTGGGCTGCTGCTCCAGATCTCTTTTGGAAAGGGGCAGACAACAGGCAAGGACCAAACTTAACTAATCCAAACCATCCCCTCATTAACTAATCCATAAGTTACTTAAAAGTATTCTGTTTAGTTTCCAAATAACTAGAATTTTTGAGATATTTTATTGTTTTTATTTCAAATTTAATATATCATAGTCATAGAACATAGTCTGCATAATTTTAGTCTTTAGAAGTTGGCTCAGCACCTGGTCTTTGTGAATTTCTCATGTACACTTGAAAAAAATGTTGTGGACAGTGTTTTGTAATTCTTTGGATGTTCTACATGCAATTTCTTTGAGAGATATACTGTATTGTATATGTCTTTTCCTGGGTTGTGGCTTGATGTTTTGCTCTCTTCATGCTATTTTATGAGCAGAAGTTTATATTTTTTTAAGGTAAGCAATTTTTATGATGTTTAAGAAATTTTGCCCCCCTTCAGGTCATCATGACAAATTCCACTTTCTTCTAAATACATTATTGTTTTACCTTTCACATATAGGACTATAATAGAGCTGAAATTGATTTTTGTGAATGGTATGAATTAAGACTGATGAAACATTTATTTTCCCATATAGATAGTCAA